CCAGGCTGGCCTCGAACTCACAGAGATCCGCCTGCCTCTGCCTCCCGAGTGCTGGGATTAAAGGCGTGCACCACCACCGCCCGGCAGAGCCTCCTATCTTGTGGCAGGGTTCAGCTCAATAAACACGAAGCACCTCCCCTATGTGCCAGGCTCTTTGCTGAGCCTGCTGAGTGGCAGATGTCCTGAGACCTGTCCCGGGCCTGGGCGAAGGGCATTGTCTACCAGGCACAGAGCCCAGCCTTCCTTGAAGGCCTGAACTGGCCCAGCTTTGGCCACCTGCACATTCAAGTGACAGCTCAATGAATCCATGAATGAATGGGAAGATGGGGCGGCTCTCCAGAGAACAGCATTCCCCCAATCTCCTATCACATCAGAGATGGCCTCCTCCCAGGTACCCTGGCAGAGCTGGGCTGGCCCAGTGGGCAGCTCTCTGAGGCCGCAGGGGTGAGGAGCCAGCCAGCCTCACCACATGGCTATCCTGGAACAGAACTGCCCAGCCCTGGCCAAGCTGCCTGAAGCATTGGGGTTGGAGTCTGGCAGACACGAGGTAGAGGATCAGCATTGTGGGGGAGACCAACAAGGAATTCAGGGGAGGAAGGAAAGGGACCAAGGAATTGAAGAGGGGCCGTGAGGGGTCCGGCATGAGACAAAAGTGCCCAGACTTTCCTGCAGGCCTGAGTTTCCTCGGGAGGGTGCTGCCAAGAGGCCCCAGGAAAAGGTCGATTTCAGTCTTTCACTCTCTCCCATCAGAATCAGTTCCATCGAGGGGGAGGGGGCAGATCTTTGCCTTCCTTGTATGGAAAGCAAGCAGTTATCAACACTAGAAAGAGCAGAAAGGAGTGACGGGCAGGCTGTTTATGTCCGAGGTGGCGCCAGGGTTCAAGGCCATGTATTCAGAGCAGCCAAATACTGGTTTCTTTATCAGCTGGTGGAAGACTTCAGATTTAGCCTTTTCTGGGGATCCCAGGCAGGGATACTTTTCAACTCCCATCCATGTTGTCTTCTCACTTCTAGACACCTCTGAGGTCTATGGGGTGTCTAGCTGTGCAGTGGGGGGACACCTGGTCCTCTGTTACTGTGGGGGGCCTACCTGTGTGGTGGTGGGGGGACACCTGGCCTTCTATAACTGTGGGGTGTCTACCTGTGTAGTATGGGGATACCTGGCCTTCTGTTACTGTGGGGTGTCTACCTGTGTACTGTGGGGGACACCTGGCCCTCTATTACTGGGGGGTGTCTACCTGTGTACTGTGGGGGACACCTGGCCCCCGATACTGTGCTTTCCTGTTTGCTTCTTCACATTCACACTGTCCTTCCCTCCCTGGAGTCTGAGGAATGTGCATGGTGTCCTCCACGGTAAGAATGACGAAACATTAAGCACAACTTTCCCTTGCTATTCCAGACCCTGCTGCTGCTGTCTACATACATGTCTACATACATGTCTACATACATCCAAGGATGTCCCGATCCCTGGTATACGATGTCTTCTAGAAATAGTATTCCATATAGCATGCCATCCAGTCTCCGTCCCCTCGCATGCATTGAATAATTGCTAGCACATGTGCTCTCCCTGCCCAACAGCTTTCTCCATCTTGGTTCTCTTTTGGACTCCACAAGCCACCAAAGTTCTCTCTTCTCTCTTCTAGGACCCTTTTTAAAAAACAAACAAACAAAAACAAAAAAACCGTATATGGGTGTTTTGCCTGCACATTTGTGTACCACATGCATGCTTGGTGCCCATGGAGGCCAGAAAAGAACATTGGATCCCCTAGAACTGGAGTTACAGATGGCTGTGAGCCACCATGTAGGTGTTGGGAATTGAACCCCCGTCCACTGGAAGAGCAGCCAGTGCTCTTCACTGCTGAGCCTTTTCTCCAGTCTCTTCCAGGGGCTTTTCGCTGCACCCTTTGGCATTGGGAACTCTGCAGTCCCTGACTGGAGCTGCTTAGGGATGCTGCCTTTTTTCCTTGCAGCAGAGCACAGGGGTCAGGTGCACAGCTTCGTTCAACAGACTCAGACGTTAGGAACTTCAGAGTACTTTCTACTTGAGCTCCTGAGGGTAAGTTTCCTCTCAGGCAACATAGGGTTAATAATACAGGCTGATTAAGGATTATAGAGAAGTGTCAAGGGCTTATTTTTCTCCAGGTCCGTTCACAGGAAGTGCTTCATAAGTGGAACCCACAGGCTCACATTACCTCGATGTGACTTTTTCTGTATGTGAACCTTTGTCCCAGCGTGTCTGGGCTCCATGCCTCCTCCCGCCAGCCCCACCCCCTGGGCTCTGTTGTCACCATACCCAACTTATACAAGTTAGTTTTATAAATTAACTATGATGGGTAGTTTGTCTGTATTTATGTCTGTGTACCACATGCATGCCTGGTTCCAAGGCCAGCAGAATCTTGAGGATAATATCAGATAGCTTGGGACTGGAGTCACAGATGGTTGTGAGCTGCCATGTTGGTGATGGGAATTGAATTCAGGTCCTCTGGGCAAGCAGGTAGCACTCTTAACCACTAGCTAGCATGCCTATCCCCTCCTCTGTGGTTCTCAGTACCAGGTCTTAGACAAATCTTCACTCAACCTTAAAATTTAGTTAAAAAACAAAGGTCCATTTTCCTGTGCAGTTAGGAGCTCCATGTTTGAACATCAGCACTTGGAGCTTTAAATTTTATTTAGGCCACGGAGCTACTGTCAACTTCAGTAGCTTGTGTAGGCTCTACTAACAAGCAAAGATGTTCATCTTTATCTCCCATCTTGGGTCTTGGCCACTTGGCTGAACGCATTTATCTCCAGGAGTTGTATCACTTTGTCTAAATGGAACTCGTCAGAGGAATGGGTCAAGATTTAGGTAGCCCAGACTAGTCTTCCTAAAACTTTATTGCTCCCATTACTCATCTCTAGGCTGCAGTGTCTTATCCTGAGCCCCTAGGAGAGAGCCGGGCTGGGAATCAGGGACTGTTGTGGGAGCATGTGTTTTGAAGGCAAGAAGAAATTTGTTTGATCTAAATTTTGTTTATATACGATAACACAATGAACCTATTGTTTTAGTTTGGGTTTTATTGCTATGAAGAGACACTATGACCACAACAACTCTTATAAAGGAAACTATTTAATTGGGACTGATTTACAGTTCAGAGGTTTAGTCCATTATCATCATGGTAGAACATGGTGGCCTGCAGGCAGACGTGGTCCTGGAGAGGTAGCTCAGAGTTCTACATCTTGATCCACAGGCAGCAGAAGGACTGTGTACCACACTGGGCATAGCTTGAGCAGATGAGACTTCAAAGCCCGCCCCCATAATGGCACGCTTCCTGCAACAAGGCCACACCCACCCCAAGAAGGCCACACCTCCTATTAGTGCCACTCCCTGTGGACCAAGCATTCAAACACAGGAGTCTATGGACGCCACACCTATTCAAACCTCCACACCCATCATTCAAATAAATATTTTTTCTATATTATTTAATTAGAGCTGGAGAGTTGACTCAGCAGTTAAGAGTGTTTGTTGTTTTTCAGAGGACCAGGGTTTGATTCTCAGCACCCACATGGAGGCTCACAACTGTGTATAACTCCAGTCCCAAGGGACTGAATGCCTTGTTCTGACCTCAGCAGGCTCCAGGCACACACACGGTGCCCATTACATGCATGCAAGCAAAACTCTCTTACATATACAGTTAAATAAATCTAAATAATTAAAAATAAATGATGGTTTGCACAGTGGTGGCGCATGCCTTTAATCCCAGCACTCAGGCAGAGGCAGGTGGATCTCTGAGTTCAAGGCCAGCCTGGTCTACAGAATGAGTTCCAGGACAGGCTCCAAAACTACACAGAGAAACCCTATCTTGAAAAACCTAAATAAATAAGATGGGTTCATTATGGTGCTATCACACACATGCACACACACACACACACACACACACACACACACACACACACACACACACACACATTTACACTTTGTTCTTATTTCCAGACATCTCTGGTTTTTTGTCAGGGTCTTATGAAGCCCAGGCTGACCTCAACTATTAACTAAGGATGACTTTGACCTTCTGGCCCTCCTGCCCCTGCCTCCTGAATGCTAGGACCACAGGCAAGAACACCGTTTATGTGGTGCAGACCGTGAACCCAGTGGTTTTGGCACGCAAGGCAAGTGCTCTATCAACTGAGGCATGTCCCCAATTCTTGTGTCTCTCTTCACCTTTTTCTCTCCTCCTTTTTTGTCCTGTCTCCTATTTTTGTTTTTTGGTTGTTTTTTGTTTGTTTGTTTGGTTTTGGTTTTTCGAGACAGGGTTTCTCTGTGTAGCTTTGCGCCTTTCCTGGAACTCACT